GGGGAAAAACCCAAAAAGCAAACAAACCCTGCAAGACCCATCAGAAATGGGGGGGGAACCAAAAAGCAAACAAACCCTGCAAGACCCATCGGAAATGGGAAAAACAACAACCAAAAACAAATACACCCTGCAAGACCCATCACATCATAGAAACATAATCCCACCACTCAGACGAAAACCACGTTGCAAAACCTACCCAGAACAGTTTTTTAAAAGTAGAAAGCAGCACCTTACCAGGCAGTCTGTTGCCTCCTCCAATCGCACACTCTCTAACTGCTGGGGCGAAAAAGCTACAAAGAAGCAGCCTCTTCGCCACCAACGGTTAGCAATTTGAATCCCCCACCTTTTCCCCCTACCTTTTTCTGGTTGTAACTTGTAGCTCCGGTCGCAAGTAGAAGCAAAATTTTGCAGCCAGAGCTGGTCGTAACTTGAAATGGTCGTATGTCAGGACGTTCATAAGTCAAGGCACCACTGTATATTGCTCCTCCAGAAATTGTGTTTTTAATCAGTAATTGGAGGTGGTACGACCAAATGAACTGATGAAATTTCGATTCTAAAATCTTACTCCTGAAGAAGGCTGTGTGCCACAACATGTTGAGTATTTTAAAGTCAGAATTAAGATTGTTCTATGCACATCCTGAGACCTGTTTCTCATTTTGATTTTTGTTATCATCGGATATACAAGTTATCTGTGTTTCTTCTTCTTGAACAACCTGAAACAACTTCATAGGAAAGTTCCTGTGGAACACCATAAGGATGGCCCCCCTGCATCTTCATGTCTCTCAGTGTTGTCCTAATAGGTTCTTAAAAACACTGAATGAGAACCCATTAGGACAACATCAAGATCTGGAGGAAGGTGTTATCAGTATGCTGTAATTCAACCAGGCAGTATTTGAACTTCTGTGGTTTCTCCCTTGCATTACAGGTGGGCCAGAAGTGTGTCATACAAACTTCAAGTTCTAGTCTGTTTTCCCCTACCTCTTTTTACCTACTCCTTTTTCATCCCTGTATTTTTTTAGCACCATAACAAAAAGGGAGTGGCGATACCAAAGTTTGCATGCCATTCGTGCACTTTGAAAAAGGTTTGCCTAATAAAATAACATCCTAGTAATGAATTTAGACTTTGGATTCTGTTTGTTGTTGTTGGTGTTCAGTACAGCTACCTGTGTGTTTTCCAACAAAATGTTTATCAATGGCACCTTCCTCTATTTTGGCTTTTCATCAAGGGCAGCAATGTCTTGGAAGCAGTGCCTGACCCTGGAGGCCCTAATAAACTGATTAAGGCACAAAGGTAGCTGAATCCCAAGAAAACTGAAATGTCTGAGACTGGGAACGCTGTTGAGAGAGAACAGGCTTATTGATAGCTTGCCCATCAAGATCAGAATTGTGCCTCCAACTTAATTTTAAACATGCAGATTGCAAAGATCTGCAGGAATGAAACTTTCTAAATCCTACTGGTTTGAATTACAATTAATTGTGCCAGCCAGTTTTGGGCTTATAATAGCAGTCTGCCAGTTTATTTATTTATTTTATTTATTTACAATATTTTTTAGCCGCACCATTAACAATGGTCTCTGAGTGTACAGCAATATTAAAACTTTAGAACCACACTGAAAACCTTAAAATAATACCAAATATTATAATAATACCAATATTGAAACAGTCAATTTATGATTAATAAATCCTGCTGCTCATACGATCAGCTAAAGGATACTATTTAATTAAAATGCTAGCTAAACAGAAAGGTCTTTGCCTGGTGCCAAAAAGCCAAAAGTGTCAGAGCCAGGCGGATCTCTATAGGAAGGGCATTCCAAAGCTGGGGGGCCACAGCTGAGAAGGCCCTATTTCGACATGCCATTCCCCTCACCTCTTTCAGGGATGGTACCTTCAGAAGGGCCTTCTGGCCTGATCTTAGAGTACAGGCAGGCTCGTATGGAAGAAAGCGGCCCTTTAGGTAACCAGGTCTTAAGTCATTTATGGCTTTATATGTCAGTGTAAGCATTTTGATTTGGGTCGGAGAGTAACCGGCAGTCAGTGTAAATTTTTCAGAACCGGTGTGATATGCGTCCGCGCAGTGGCACCACTTACCAGCCGTGCAGCCCAGTTGTGCCAGTTGCAGTCACTGGACCATCTTCAAAGTCTGCCCCATGTATAGTGCATTGCAATAGTCCAGTCTGGTTGTTTCTAATGCATGTGTGACTGTTGCCAGGCTCCGCTCATCCAGGTAAGGGCGAAGTTGATACATTCTCCGCAGCTGTAAGAAGACACCCCTGGACACCAAGTCCACCTGGGCTTCCAAGGTCAGACCCAGATGAAGGAGAGCCCCAGGCTGCGAGCCCTGTCCTTTAGGGGGAGTGCAACCCCGTCTAGGGTAGGGAAATGGTCCTTTAACCTATCTGGCGGAGCACCTGCCAGCAGCACTTCCGACTTGTCTGGATTGAGCCTCACTTTATTGACCCTCATCCAGTCCATTATCGAGTCCAGGCACGAGTTTAGAACGGTGACTGCCACACCTGGATTGGTAGAGAATGAGACGTAGAGCTGGGTATTGTCAGCATATTGTTGACTCCTCAGCTCAAACCTTCTAATGATCTCCCCTAGCAGTTTCATGTAGATATTGAATAGCATAGGGGATAGTATAGAGCCCCAAAGAACCCCATGACACAATTGCCATGGATCGGAGCTAATGTCCCCCAGCACCACCTTCTGGACCCGATCAGCCAGTTAAGAGCAGAACCACCATAAAACGGTGCCTCCCATTCCCATCCCAGCCAATCTGTCCAGAAGGGCCCCATGGTCGATGGTGTTGAAAGCCGCTGAGAGGTCCAGAAGATTCAACAGGGACACATTCCCTCTGTCTCTCTCCCGACAAAGGTAATCAAACAGGGCAACCAAGGCAGTCTCCGTCCCATAACCCGGCCTGTGCTATACAGCTCAGTTTGTTACTATGTAGGTACAATAATTACTAACCGTACAGCTGACCACATTTCTGACATTTGGAGTCCCTTTTCAACCTCCCAACTCCGTTTTTTTTCCTCCCCCACACAAATTTTCCTCCATAGATATTGTTTTCATACGGACTGCATATTTTAACATGAGACATATACACATGCTATTGTTTCCACATGTACTTTATCTATGTAAATCTTTTCCTGGCTGCAGCAGCACTAAATACCGTATTTTTCGCACCATAAGACTGCTGCAGCAGCACTAAATAAGTACAGTATCTCCCAGAACAACCTTACACTTCATAAATGGGCCATGAATCCTTTGAAATCACAGCCTTGTTCAGCTCTCAGGTGCAAAAGTCCTTCCTCAGTATATCGCAGGGCCATCCAAGGAAGCATGACAAGTTTCCTCACTCCTCCCATTTTTGTCAATGTCCCTTCCATTTTTATTAGGTCCACATGCTGAAAATTGATCGAAATTCCCCATTTTCTGTTTTACAGAACTGTGAAAAAATATGACAAACAAGGCCGGCTGCTCTCCAATAAAATAGATCTGTGCGACTGCCTGGAGAAGAACTGCTTGGGCTGCTTCTACCCTTGCCCGAAATGCAATTCCACCAAATGTGGGGCGGAATGTCGCTGCAACAGAAGATGGGCTTATGACCAGATTCAGATAGAAGCTGGACAAATGATCCGATTTCCATTTTGACACATTCCACTTATGCCCTAGGCCGGCCGGCCTCCTTCTGTGAAGCAGCCACTGAGCATTTTATTTATTTATTTTGTTTATTTATTGAGTGAGTGGATGAGTGAGTCGTATGGGTGATGTGCCCTGTCAGAGAGAGAGAGGGAGAGAGAAGTAAAGATGTGTATCAAGGCCCTCATGGAATGGCATTTTGTTAGAACAAAGCAATCCTTAGTGGAGAAGTTCAGAGGTGGGAAAAACTACTTTTTCTAGACTACAGCTCCCAAGAATCGTCTAGTCGACATGGCCATGGCCCAGTCCCCTCTGAAGTTCAAAGTATGCAACTGCCTGTATTTGGAACATGCTTTGGGAGTACTAAGGGGAAGAGGGAACACTGCGTATGTTGGAGTCTAGAAATGGCAGATAGAAGTGAGGAGGACTATGGGAGGAATAAAGGCATTTTCATTCCATTTCCTTCTTCTGAAAACAAGTTGCTTATCTTAGTAAACTAACACCAGGGCTCCATCCCAGCCAAATGTTCATTATGTATAGAAGTGTGTGTTTTCCCCCAGTTTAAGCAAGTTATGATTAGGCTACTAGAAGGCTTATTTAATCCCTTTCTTCTCTTCTTTACAGAAAGGGGGTGTGTGTTTAAATTTTTTTGAACAGATTTTTTTGAACAGATGCAGTTGTCCTGGGAATAAAACCATTCAGAGGTAACAGAAGTAAATCAAAGAAAAACAGAACCTCCCCTCACCATTTCTTTACTTTATCCATAAATGCCCCGTATAGATTATTATAGCCCCTTTGTGGGGATGAAAGGAAAGATGGTATCCTGCAACCCCCAGTCCATGTAATTCTTACAGACAAAAGATGGAAAGGGAACCACAGAACACAAGATTAATGAAAGCATTTTATTCTCAAAGGGGTTGTTGCAGGAGCTGAAGATTGATGCCTTCTATGTTGATCATCTGTGCAGAACGGGAGCTATCAAAGTAAGCATTTAAGTCCTTTAGCAAGCTTGCAAAAACTAACACCAGATATAAACAATGTGAAACATATGGCATTTATTGGTATAGAGACCAGGTTCTAAACTTCTGCAAGGAACAGAGAGTTAAAAAGTTGAATTCTCAGCCGGTCTGCACTTATCTATGATTAAATGGAAAACATGCAGCACTGCTTGTTAAAGAAAACTGTTAGTAATTTTTTTATTGAAGTGCTTCTGCCAGTTTAAGAGTATGATGGGATTGAGTCTTGCTTTCATAGATATGTCATGTAGTTTTTGAACACAGTGATTATTAAAATAAGGAACAAATAGCTTATCCCCTGGACATGCATCAAGATAGGTACATGGCACATGCCAGAAATTGAGACAACCATGTAGGACTGCATGTAATTCCAAGTGTTATTGTGTGGTCCAATATATATAACATTGTGTGTGTCATTTATATAATATTATTTGACAGTTAACATTTTTCAGTGAAAGTTCAAATAAATAAAAGAATCTTGAGCAACCTTCAGCAAATTCACAGGCCAACAAGCCAGGGGCAAGAAAATATTTAATTTTGATCTTGGAGAACAAGAATGCTCCAAGGGGAAGGTGGGCATTATAATATACTGGCTAAATTAAGCTGGAGTAAGTTTGATAAAGCTGTTGTACTTTGGGCATGTTATGAGAAGATAAGAGTCACCAGAAGATACAACGAAGCTGGGATAAGTTGAAGATAGTAAAAAAGGAGGAAAAACTAAAATGAGATGGGTTTATTAATTCACCACAGTTGGCCCTAAGCAGGGCTGTTGACAGTAAAACGTTTTGGAAGCCCAATTCATAGGGTGGCCATAAATTAGCACATGACACATAGGTCACTGCAGATCTGATGGATGGATGGAGGGGGCATGGCTATTCCATTTGTCACCTCCATATGCAAAGTGGATTCCATTGATTGGTATTCCCACCAGGACCACCAATCTCAGCATTATCCTGGAGCTCATCAGCATCATCCAAAATTTTTTTAAAACTTCACCCTTCCATCCATCATGCTGACAACATATTTCTATGTTTACCAGGTGTCTTCTCACATATGAACTCATACATGTTCTGCAAACACATTCCTCTGAGGAATCCTTGAACTTTGGCAGTAGCATGTCTAGGTAGATAGGTCCTAACAGCTTGTGCTCACCTTGGACTAGTTCACAATAATCCTGCACACAAAAGAATCAGAAGCATGTGATTGACTTGATAAAGGACAAAACATGGGAGAACTTCATCATTGACAAATAAATGAGCGAAAAATATAATAAAATGCAGTTGCTTTAGAATGTGAGAAATATTCATTCAAAGGATGGAAACTTACAAAAGTTGAGAGGTCCAATCTGTGATGGCAAAACCTGGGTGGGTAATAACGGGCTGGATTTAAGATCCAGTAGGTAGACAGACTTTTCCAGGGTAAACAATTAGGAGTTTTAAAGGTTTCTTTGAGGACAAGACAAACAGCTTAAGGGGAATGGGGTTGAGAGATAAGGAGAAACAAAATTCAATGGCAAGCCAAGCTGCTGAATTTAGGCAGTAACCAGACATTTTAAAAATAAAAATAATTCCACATCATTTAAATGGCTTCATGCAGTTTGATGCCAAATTACAGAAACGAGGAAAGATAATCTAACTTAAAGCAAGCAAATATTTGCTTTATATCCCCCCTCCCGTTGCAGCCTAAATAGATGGAAGAAAAGTATGGACTGGATTTCTTTGAGAGTGATAGAAGGACTCTCTTAACTATGTAGCTCTTGAAAACAAATGGAAAACAATAGTGTGCTATGTTATTGCTTGTCAGGCAAATGGAAACTGCTTAATTTCCAGAAAACAACCTGCAGCAGGCTTAGGCTTAGGGGGGCACCTGTAGTTTTACCTATTCTTAATTCTGTGGATGCAGTAAGCTGCCAATCGCTAAGCAGAAAGGAAAAAATACTGCTTGTGTTCAGAGTACAGCATGGGAGAGTGAGAGTTTTAGAATTAACCACTTGTCGGCCAGAGACCTCCAGGTAATGACTGATTCTGAGACCTTAATAGTGAAAAGTTTCCTGAAGCCTGGTTTAGAGGTGCTTTTGCTATTTCCCTGTGGCGGATATCCTGGTTCCCTAAAAATAAGACCTAACCTGAAAATAAGCCCTAGTGTGGTTTTTCAGAATGCTCTTAATATAAGCCCTACCCCCCAAAATAATCTCCAGTTAAGTGAAACCCCGCCCTCCACCATTGTGCAGCAAGCAGAAGAGGACATGACTGTGTCTGAATAAATGTAGATTGTTGTACATGGAAAAAAAAATATCCCCTTAAAATAAGCCCTAGTGCATTTTTGGAGCAAAAATTAATGTAAGACCCTGTCTTATTTTCAGGGAATCATGATAGAAATACCGTTATGTTTGGCTACTAAGCCTGGACGCAATTTGTGGAATTCAGTCCCAAGACAGATTCACTTTCACGTAAACTGACTGGAGCTCCAAGGGATATTTTCAATGGCAACTCACACTCGCCAAGGTTTCTGAGGGTGCAATTTGCCTTTTTTTCCCCCAGGGAATCCCACCCCGCCCCCCAAAAAAGACCAAGTTGGCCACACTTGTGATAGGATAACCAGAATAAACCGGTTTGTCTTATTCAGTGTGAAGCCCCGTAAAAGCGGGCATTGTTCTCAAACTTAAGTTTCGTTTCCTTGCAACTTTGTAAGAGGTGGAATTTTTCATGGGAAGGATACTGTTGCGCCGGTGCAATGTAAGTTTCTTGTTTCTCTGTAACCAATCATGTATTGCCAGCCTATGCAATGCCCATATATGGGGACTGTGAGCCTTACCGGACTGCCCGGAAAGGACAAACTATAAAAACTGTATGTAAAAACGCCACGCCTTCGGAGAACCGCTTCCTATGTCACTTGGCAAGGAATGTTCTTCTCCCCGCTTTCTGCAGCAGGCGAAAGAAAAATAAACCTCCTTTTCTTTTATAGCCTTCGTGTCTCGATCTCTTGTTTAAGGTAAATTGTTGGGCGTAACAATTTGGGGGCTCGTCCGGGATCCTTAAAGGGTCTCCGGTTGGGACCAGCTTCGGTCTGGTTGAGGCCAAACAAAGCAACGGCTGCGACGACGTGAACCGGGGGGCCCCTGTCGTTTATTTTCCGACAGCCGCTTCTGTGCCGAGGCCTTGGTTGTATGGCATCAAGAACCCGGAGGGAGACACGAACGCAGAGGTTTCTTCAGTCGGCCGACCAACGACCACAGATCTGGTGAGTATATTATTTGGGGAAATAATCTGGGTAATCTGGGTGGTCGTTGTTGAGTGACTGTGAGAGTGTTTGGACCTGCAGCTCCCTACGCCAGCCGTTGGGTGATCCGGTGGCCTGGGTCAGGTCGTTGCGAGTGACAGTCTGTAATCCTCACGTGTCCGCGTCCAAGAGACCCCTTACTCTTGGCGCAAATCCCCTTCCCTAGTGTTTTTGTCTCCCGCGGGATGGGGAACCAAACATCGAGGAATGAAAGAAAGCCTAGTGGGGGCGGAAGCAAGAAAAACAAAAGGTCCGGTGGGGACCTCAGGAGGAATTTCGAGGGGGACGCCCCAACTCCAGGCCCTTCTAGGGGTGGTAATGAGTTAGGAATTCCTGGTAATAGCCCGTTGGCAAGGCTGTTACTTCATTGGGCTTCCGTGAAAGTGCAGGACTTTCAGACAGAGCAGGAGATGGTTAGAATGTGTACAGAAGTGTGGCCTCAGTTTAATATCACACCCAAATGGCCACAGTTTGGTTCCAACAACTTTGATGACATTAAACTAGTGGATGATTTTTATGTTTCTCACCCACCCCGATCAGTGTATGTAGACTCTTGGTTTTGGTATTTGATCAAATTCGGAGAAGGAGTGAGATTGGCTGTAAGTAGGAACTTGGTGGAATCTAAACTGACAGGGGAGGAGATGTCTAAATTTGACCCCCTGGAATTTATTAACTATCAGCCACCTCCTCCCCCGCCACCTGTGCAACAGCAGCAACAGGTTCCTACCGCTCCTCCATTAAATGCGCCAGAAACAGAGACACCCCAAATTTACCCAGCCTTACAGCCGCCAACATATGACCAAACCCTGAGAGAAGGGCAGCTAGAAGGGGCAGTAGGTGAAGAATCCGTAGGTCCTATTTCCCCCATTAGCAGCGATCGTACTGTAGATTACAGCACGTCGCCCCCTCCCCGACCGAACACTAGGTCCAGAAGTAGAATGCTAGAATTAGGAGAGGGAAGTCCAGGTGTGTTCCAATGCCCCTTAAGAGAGGTGCCTATGGGCTCTGCTGTTGGATTCGTGGAAGTTCCGTTAACAAATTCGGATATAAGAATTATAAAGCAGAACCTCCCCAGCCTTCCGGAAGATCCTATTGGATTTGTCACCGGTCTCCGGGATGCTCTGGGAACAATGATTTATAAACCCACGGAGCTTCTACATATCTGCAGGCAGCTGGCAGGAGCAACATATACTAATCAAGCGCTAGAACAAGCCCGCCAGCTGTGGCGTGGGCAGGCTGCTGGAGCAGCACGAACAGAGGACCAGGCAAGAGAAAGGTTCCCGGAACTTACTCCTGGGGACTGGGACTTCCAAAACCCCAATACCAGAGAGCAATGCGCCGAAATGATGCA